AAAAGTCATCAATAATAGATATTTTCCTCTTACAATAATTGCATCCAGGTCGAGTTCGAAGTCTTCTTCCTCAATGGGTTTTGCATTAAGTAATATCTTAAGTAATCTCAATAATCTCAATTTAAAATCGGAGATGATGCCAACTTTTGGTGAAGAAATGCGTATTTGTTGAAGTAGACTTGGAATTTCATCATTATTATTTTTGTTTCTATTGTTATTGTTATCATTAAGATTAATATCCATAATGGGCAGAATTAATATGTTTTCGCAATAACCGCTGCTTGTTAAGCGTTCTCTTAAAATAGAACACTGGATTGTCGTGACAGAAATAGCAATAAAGATAAATCCTCCATTATTATGTAGAATGCCAAACTAACGAAGCATATAAACATTTAGAATAATTGAAATCACGAATACACGAATGTAGGGAAAAAATGAATACCTTTTTACTACGAACAACTTCAAAAAATTCTGCTTCGAGTCTACCAAAATTTTTCGCACTTCCTTCATTTGAGCTTATTATAAAAATCGTTGTCTTGTAATCAAATGATTTCGGTAATAGCTCTTCAACTCTTGCAGAAGAAAAATGAGTGCTTAACCATAAAAGTTTGTATTTATTGGCGAGATTGCTAAAAATCAAAAATACTAATTAGCTACATTAATCTTGAGAAATAAAAAATAGATTTATACAAACATGTATTTTTCTGCATTTGTCCTTCTCCCAGATAAATGAATAATTCGGATATTTCCAATGCACCGTTCCGATTTTCTATCAATCATGATTCCTTCGTATTCACTTTTATAGCGAATTTCATTCTTGTCATTATAAAGTCAAACTTGTAAACAAATTAAGATATCAATTTAATTACAGTTTATCGGAATCAGAAAAGTTGAATCGACCTAGTTGTAAATGTAAAAAGATGAATAATATGAATATGTCATAAAGCACTAGCGTATTTTGAAAAATTTAAAATAAACTTACCGTTTTTTCGGATATCTTGGAATTCACATTCGGATTCACCATCATTTTCGGAACTTGAAATTTCTAAAGTAAGTTTCGGGATTTTGTCATACTTTTCGAACAAAATTCCGAAAAAACAATAAACGTAAACATTTTGTCTTCTGTTCTTTGGTTGCAAATGTAATTTTGAAAAAAATTATAATCTAACCTTTTCATCAAACACAATTTATTATCAAAATAGGATAGCACTTTTGTGCGATCGATTTTTCCTTCAGAAAATTAAAATGCAAACTGGTTATCATATCTTTCATTAGACCAGATTCAACAATTACCATCAATCGCAACATAATCAGATCCTTCCTTTTCGGTATTTTTGAGACCCAAAATTTCATAGCTATTCTTAGTATTCTGATCATTATTCAAAATTCTTAGTCTATGCTTCAGATTCTTGCTTTTCCAGTAATAACCACTGAGACTTTTTAGAAATAATTAAAAATTATTTTTTATATTATAAGTTCAAATCGTTAATATATTATACAGCTTTTATTCATACTTTCTCTCGTAGCACCCACTAATCGTTTTCTTCATTTTAGAAATAAAAAATAAGATTTTCTGTTAAAGAATAGCATAAGTATGTTGTTTAAAAATAAAAAGTTTAATAATATAAAAAACTTAATCACGCACTGTCAAGAAATAGAATGATCAATGATGTGTTCTCTGTACAATGTTTCTACCTTGTACATATCTTTATTTAACTTCTGTAATAAGGTGCATGTGCTATACGTTTACGAAATAGATTTCAAGTCATACATAATAGACGTATTGTCGGAAGTATGATACAGTGTGTGACAAAAAAACTTAATTATTTACTGATCATATTAGATAATAAATAAATATCTTCAATTTTAGCTTAATTTATATCATTTTGTACTGAATTAAAATTAAATAACAGATTTATTTACTATACTTATTAAATAAATTCTTGCAAAATTCACTATCAAAATGTTATTAATTACTTGCAAATAAAAGATATATAACTTATTATAT